GACTTTGGCACTTCCCATAGTCACTGTTTCTGCTCTGAACCTGTACAAAATTGGACATAGATTGTAAGCGTGCATTAAAATTTACAGAAAGATATGTTTAACTCAGTACCAGGGTGAAGTTTTTCAGCTTGCATGCATAGTTTTGAGTTGGAGTGTTTCAATGTTGGCATGCAAACCACCTGTCCTTGATCTGCTCCAGTAAGTCACAATGTATGTTGGAAACTAGTATAGACTCTGTTTCTAATAGCATGCCTGTATATTTTGCATTTAAACTGCCTATATTTAACTATAAGGCCCTTGGATTCAGAACTGTAAAATTTAGTGAAAGCACAGTTCCCGTCCTCCCCTTATTCTTTAACGCAACTGAAATGTGAATGTACAGGGAAGCTCTGGAAATCATTTGGAGAAAGCAATGCTGAGTTGGATAAAATATCTGACCTCCATTTGTTCATTCATTCATTCATTCATTCATTCATTCATTCATTCTGGTCTCTGCTGAATCTTAATATTCAATTACCTGCTTCCTCTCCTTCTTTCCCCAGCACTGGTCCTATTAATGGTCTCCCAAGGGCCCATTCATCAGAACAGAAATAAAGGGTTATTAAGGCCATAATTCTTGGAACCTGCTGTTCTCTGACAGGTGCCATAGATTCCCACTCTTTAAGTCAACTGGTTACGTGGAGTTTGCTCCATTATAGACTGGAAATGACAGCTAGGTGGTATCCTTGGGGAGGAGGACATACCAGATGGTGAGCCCCCAGCTCCACCTACAGAATTTGGGGAAACAAGATCATATGGGGAAGGTGTCCAGCTCAACCATGAAGCCATACTGCCAGAAACACTGGTCAGCGGTGGGTTTCAGATTAAGTTACTACTGGTTTGCGCATGCACCTGTGCTTGCTTCGTGCGTGCATGCACCTGGTTTGCATGCACGCCTGCCTTCCACACATGTGCCTGGCCTTCCGTGCATGCACTTTGCTCATGCGTGCACCTTCTGCGCATGCTCCCGGCCTAAAAAATGTGCCTAAATGGGACGGCATAGAGCCTGGGCAGGTGGGTGCAATTTCCACTACCGGTTTGAGTGAACCAGTCCAAAACGGCTGAATACCATCTCTGACTGGGATATGTGTGGGGGAGTGGTGGGTGGAGAATTTGTCCCTCTGGATCATTAGATGTTATATATTTAGAGGCATTTATATGTTGAAGAAAAAGAGGAGAAGGATTTAAAGCCTGATGCTGGTGGATAAAGAGGAGTGGAAAGAGATTGATTGACTTGAAAATAGCAATTTTTTATTATTTGAAATGTGTTTGCCTGTATTAAATGGGTTAATATTCTTTTAACTGGTTTAACTGATGTGTCAGGCTTGATTTTCCAAGTCCAGTGTCCTCCAGATATATTAGAATACCATTCCCAGCATCATCATCACCCATCATAGCCCAGAGTCATTGAGAGTTGGGTAGTATACAAGTTTAATAAATTAAATTATTGTAGCCATTAAGTGGGAATTATAAGATTTCATCCCAGCTATATGGAGAATGCAAAGATGAGGTACTCTGCACCAGAATTATATACAGAGAGATCTCTTTTTAGGGGGAGGGAAGGTCAGTTTCAAAATGAGTTGGGCAATCATGAAATGAAACATTAATTACCTTCACTACTGAAGAACCAGGCTGAAGATTTAAATCTTCTGTAGCAATGGAATTAGAGCTGGTGAAATGGTGAAATTTATATATTGAGTCATATAATTTTTGGATTGTTGCCTTCTGGCAGAAGATACAGAACAATTAAAACTCGGACCACACGTTTTCTGAATAGTTTTTATCCCAGAGCTATAATTGCACTCAACAATGAACTAAAGGGCCACTATCAGTGAGCTGTTGGACAGCATTACTTGGTCTGTTGTGTGGATGTTTGGGTGGTTTAGGGGTGGGGAATTGTGGTAGGTGGGAGTGTGTTTGGGGATTGTTATGTGTGTTAGACCTGGTCTTTGGGTGTTAAGTGAATTTCATTGTATGGGTATGTGTATACACGTACAATGACAATAAAGTAGTAGTAGTAGTAGTAGTAGTAGTAGTAGTTGTTATTATTATTATTATTATTATTATTATTATTATTATTATTATATTTTTATTAGTTCTAAGCATGTTCACATGCTTATTGGTTTCATTATTTATTTATTTATTTTATTATTTATTTTATTCAATTTGTATACCGCCCTTCTCCTAGTAGACTCAGGGCGGTGCACAGCCAGAACTAAAACACATACCAATACAAAATTTAAAATTTTTAAAAGAATTACATGACTTTGGCCCAAAATTTAAAACATTCAAACTAAAACCCATTGACAATTTAAAAACTAAAAAAAGGGGGGAGGGGTGTTCACGCCAGCCCTGCTTGATGGAAAAGAAAAGTTTTTAGGGCATTTAGCTGCATGAAGCTTCTTTTGGGACTGAATATTCGAAAAAATGTCAAAAAAGTCTGATTTTTAGTGGCCAATGAAAGTGGCTGAATTTTGGAGAACCGTTTGTAGAACTTTGTCTTCATATGTCTTCAGTCTCTTCTCATGATATGAGTCTATTGATGTAGACACAAATAGAACATCAGATAATTTCATACCAACTTTTGTGATCAATTCCACTAGATGTATTGGATTCCAGCTTCCATCATCCCTATTTCGCATGCTGAATAGGAATGATGGGAATTGAAAGCCAACATATTTGGAAGGCACCAGATCGGGTGAGATTGTTTTTCTACTCACTTTACAAGTAAAGAAATTCTTTACACCAGTCCTGTATATAAAAAAGATGGAATTCCTAATCATCCTTCTACACCAGAGGTGGGTTTCAGCAGATTCTGACCAGTTCTGGAGAACCGGTAGTGGAAATTTTGAGTAGTTCAGAGAACCGGTAGTAAAACTTCTGACTGGCCCCACCCCCATCTATTCTCTGCCTTCCAAGTCCCAGCTGATTGGGAAGAAATGGGGATTTTGCAGTAACCTTCCCCTGGAGTGGGGTGGGAATGGAGATTTTTCAGTATCTTTCCCCTGCCTTGCCCACCAAGCCACGCCCACCATGCCACACCTACGGAACCGGTAGTAAAAAAATTTGAAACCCACCACTGTTCTACACCACCAGTGGTTCCACTCCCCAGTAATGACATGAAAGTGATCAACCATTGTTTTCTTTGAAAATGTTTTTTCAACTTCTTGATCTAGCGTAGACTTCTGGTATACTGGAGGAATCCCATCCAACTATTAACCAGGGCCATTCCTCTTTAGCTTCTCAGCCTAAAAGCTATTATCTGAATAACTATTAGAATGCCACTTAAATATTGTAAATTTAGTCAACAGTTAAAAAAAGCATTTAAATATATGATTAAACCATAAATTACATTCTTGTAATACATATTTAATCATTCCTGTTTTAAACTATACTCAAAACTTACATAATTAGAATAGATTTTTTTTAAAATGATTTTCAAAAACACGTATGGTAACAGAATTGATCAGAACAGTGAAATGAATAACAACAACAACAAAAAAAAAAAAAAAACCCACACCTTAATAGAAATATATTGGAAATTTGTATTGGTCAAAGAAAGTTCAAGTTTATGTGAATCAAAAATTCCAGGCTCGTGCTTACATAATTCTTATGCAGCACACACAACCCAAGCTATCTAGTAGATATGCCACCACTATTATTTAGTCATCCTCCTGGGTCCTTAATAGCAGCTTGTCACATAACTTAACATTTTCACAGCATGGAAATCAAAGATCAAGATCTTTTCATTTGCTTGATTTTTTTTTACATCAAGCTGCTCTTAACAGTGTGCTAGAGGGGTCAATGAAAAATTCAGCATCCCATCCAAAATTTCTCTCCCTTTTCCTCTCCCTCCCTCCCTCTCACTCACACTCTCTCTCTCTCTCTCACACACACACACACACACGCTTAATGCCCACACTCATCTACATATATACTGATTGCAAACCTGAACTTAATTATCCCATGTAGGCTCCTTTGATAAGGCAATAAGCCTGGCTCAGTTGTGGAACCCACCCACTGACTTTGGAATAAGCCCTGTTTTTTCATCAGAATGGTAATATATAGAGAGGAGTAGAGGTAATACTGCCTAATGTAAAGGTTTATTTTTCTAATGATGAAGAGAAGGGAAGATGTTTAAATGAACAATGGCAATCCTGGTGAACCCCAGTATACTTGGTGCTATTTGCTGGGCAAAACTGACGATCCATTTCTTATTTGCCAGTCTTTGATTACTTGGTGTGGTAAGGACAGAGGCAGACTGCACAATCTTGGATTCCAGACTTGAAAGTCCTGATTATGCTATTGAGCAGTCAGCTATTTTCTCCCCAGCCTTCTGGAACACTGGCCAAGAAAATCCTTCCAAATACATTGGATTTCAATTCCTTTAATCCAGTGGAATACTACCTAAGGGTTATCGGAATTGAAGCTCAACATATCTGAAAGGCACTAGTTGGTGGAGGGCATATGTTCATTTCTGGGTGTTATAAAACGGAGGCTAACAGGTTTATGTGGGCAATTGTGAGATGGCTTAAGGTAATGATGGCTAACCCTTTTGCCATCGTGTGCCGAAAGCGGGGTGACTGTGGGGTGGTCGTGTGTGTGCGTGCCCACACCCATAATTCTATGCGCCCTGCCCCCCTGTACATGTGCGCGACCCCCTCCCCATGCTTTTGGCATGTGATGGCACGGTGGACCGAGTAGGCCTGTTTTTCGCCCTCCCCAGGCTCCAGAGGCTTTTTAGGAGGCCCTCTGGAGGCTGGAAACAGCCCATTTGCTGACTTCCGGTGGGCCCAGAAGGCCCGAAAATCAGCTGGCCAGTGGGCACATGTGTGCTGGAGCTGACCTAGGGCAACGCTCGTGTGCCCTCAGATATGGCTCCGCGTGCCACCTGTGGCACCCGTGCCATAGGTTCGCCATCACAGGCTTAAGGGCTGCCATAACTGTCGTATCTCTTGCAGCTATGGTGACATGGTTCCAAGCACCATTGCAGGGAAGATCTTTGGATCCATCTGTTCTCTAAGTGGGGTGCTGGTCATCGCCCTTCCTGTACCTGTCATTGTTTCCAACTTCAGCCGTATCTACCACCAGAATCAGCGGGCAGATAAGCGACGAGCTCAGCAGGTAGATTTTGGGAGAGGAGGGGGAGGAGGAGAAGGAGGAGGAGGAGACCACATACACGGGGAACTCAATTATCTGTGACATTCCACAAATAGTTCTCTGTGTTTCTCCCTTTACAGAAAGTTCGCCTGACCCGAATACGACTGGCCAAGAGTGGCACTACCAACGCTTTTCTTCAGTACAAGCAGAATGGAGGCCTTGAGGTATGAATTCAATTCTCTGTTCAACCTGGTGCCCTCAGTTTTCTCCATGCTGGGCATCCTTAAGACAATGGCACAGATTTTCTTAAACCAATTGTCTTTTCCTAGGTAAGGAAAACAAGGATCAGCGTGAATGGGAAACACATGTTCCTCTTTGTTTGGGCCAATATGCTCAGTTTTTGTTATTGCAGTCAAAATGAGCAAACCTAAACCTTTGATCTTTGGAGTTGACTACAGCTGGGCTGTAGACATTTTCTCTCCATTGCATTCCATCAGTGTTAATATTAATTTGCCAGAGCTGCATATTAAGCCAAAGATAGTTTTAGGCAGAGCTAGTTGCTGAAAGATAAGAAAAAAAAGAGAGAAAAAGAATGGGATACACCAGCCCTCTTTCCCTTTCTTGGCCATCCACTTTCTGTCACATCTGCTACTGTTTTTCTCTCTCTTGATCTGTTTTTCTATCTCCCCATTTTATTTACTTTATTTATGGGGATGCATGCAGCACTTAGCCTAATTTCAGAAACAATCTGCAAATGATCAGTCTAGACCTCTGGCAAAAGGAGTCTGTCTCTTCTCTGGCAAAAAGAGAGGTGGATGTGATTGTTTTCAGAGGGCTTTTGAAATTAGGCTGAGTACCATGTTCACCCCCAGAGCCAACAGTTACACATCCTTGGGCCAAGCTTAGAACAGAGCTTCCTCTATGAGTCACTTGCGGAAACCAATGCTGGAATGCTCTTCCCCAGGGAATAATTCTGGTTCTCTATTATCTCCCACACTTGTTAATATAATCACAAAATCCCTCGAATGGGTTCATTGGAAACGTTGGCATTTGGTTTAGATTTATGTCCAAGATTCCCATCTCTATTTCTCCCTCTCATCAAATCTAGGGGAAGCTGTGAACTTCTTTTGTGCAAAGTCCCATTCATTAAATGAGAGCAATTTAATTAAAGTGCTGTCCAAATAAAACAAAGGTTCAAGCATTGCATTATACTACAAAATAATTTGTTTTGTGTTGGCTTGGGTGAGCACATGCATTTAACCTAGCCCATTTTCATGTATTCAACAAATAGCAACTAAAACAAATCATAGTTTACTAGGTTTGAACCCATTCATTGTTAAGGATAGAGGAAGACTGGCTGAAGAAACAGCTACTCTGGATGGTCTCAAAGGACCCAATTCATAGCTCCTGGACTTTTAGGGGCTACTGTTGTCCTAATACCTTTCTATCAGCTTTAGCTGATTCAGATTCTGTGTCTCCTCTGATGCAATAAACTTAACTGCTGTCATTCATGCATTGGTGTTTTCCAAATATTCTGTGAGTCAGACTGTCCTTGAAGATGGTTTGGAAATGTCAAGGGCTGCACAATGCAGCCTCCTACATTGCTGTCAAGTCTTGCACCATTTGGTTTCTGTTCTGATTGCTAATTCTTCACCCTTTGTTGGTCAATACTTTGATCTTAGCTAATACAGGCATCAGAGAAGCCTACTCTTAAATTATTTGTTTATCTTATTTGTGATATATTATATGAACAGTAAGTAAATATTTTTTTAAAAATAATTTCAAAAGTCTAATCCAGTGCTCCTCAAATGTTCTAATCTCAATTCTAATTTTAAATAAGCTCCCGACTTTATATTGCAACTGGAGTATTCTTTGTTGGAAGGCTTCCTACCTTGCAAAATATCAATTCCCTATAGACAGAAAGGTAGTCCATTAGAGAGGACAAATATAGCCACACCCTAACCCTGCAGTATTATTTTCTAAATGCAGAAACCTTCTTTTCAATGGAAGGCACTCAGATACTTGGCTACCCTTCTTGCAATCTGAATTACAGTAATCTAAATATATTTAAAAGTTGATTAGGTTTTAAACCTTATGTACTTAGACGTTTTCCCCATTTTTACATTTCCACTTGTGTGTCCAATGAAGGCTCTGATAATTTAGATATGTGGATATTCAAGCTGGAGCTACCAATTGTTGAAATGGAATGGTTATGTCCATCAGATATCCCATCTGCCTTTATCATCTTTCTCCATCAGGACAGAGATCCTGATGCACATGCCTTGGCAGTGCGTAACCGATCAGCTTTTGAACAACAGCACCACCATCTCTTGCACTGCTTGGAGAAAACTACAGTGAGTAATAAGAAGGGGGGATCAAAACAGGGGAGGAATCAAAAAAGGGAGGAATGGAAGGAATTTGGGAAACAGAAGTGGGACTGGTGGGTGAAGCCTGCATTTGTATTTACAAATGAAATCTGCTTTCTGTCCAACACCTTGTGAGCCAATCTTCCCACTTTACACTCTAGAAAATAGTAAACTATGATTTTGATGCTCAGATGGAATAATGGGACTTTTGTTACTAAATACTTGAGGGTTTCTTATTGAGGGAGAGGTTGGAACTGTGCTCATCTTATTTCTAGGCAGTTTCCCCCCCACTCCGATATATAACATGAAGAACCTCACCCAAAATAAAAGCAGCAACATTAAAGGGGAGAGGCTTGTTGCAGTGACTTTGTAGGGAAGATCCCCCTCTCTCCCAATAATGGTTTAATTGCTTCTGGTTGAATGTTTGTTACTTTTTATTGCAACAAGGATAACAGAAGTGCAGATTGCCAGTAGATGCAAAATTAAATCAGTTACACCCAGTGGTGAAATCCACATTTTTTTAATACCGGTTCTGTGGGTGTGGCTTGGTGGGTGTGGCTTGGTGGGTGTGGCAGGGGAAGGATATTGCAAAATCTCCATTCCCATCCCACTTTGGGGCCAGCCAGAGGTGGTATTTGCTGGTTCTCGGAATTACTCAAAATTTCCATTACTGGTTCTCCGAACTGCTCAAAATTTCCGCTACCGGCTCTCCAAACTGCTCAAAATTTCTGCTACCGGTTCTCCAGAACCTGCTGGATTTTATCCCTGGTTACACCCCTTTTGATGTTTAGTATTAAATTATAGTTTAATTATTAAAATATAGTACAGGATAGAAATCTTAGGATCCTATGTAGGTCTTGAAAGACTGAATTGTAGCCCCCAGAAGCTGGGGTGGTGGTAGCAGCATAGACACACTTTAATTGAGTATAACTCTGGAAACTGCATATAGTTTAAAATTTAAACTGTAAGTGACCATCAAACTAGAATTCATATGGAGCTGTCCAAGGTCCTGTTTTCATTTGCTCTTTGATGCAGAACGACTTTTGCCTTGATTTTGTTTATCTCAGCTGAATTTCATCACTGTCTTAACATTGCTCATCTTGATTGGAATATGACTGCCTAGATTTGATTCTACAGGTTTACAAATGTATGTTCTATATTTTTCTGCTCTAGTTGACAACTAATGAATTAGAAATGAGCATGATTATGTTTTGCAACAACATTAATTTACTAGGATAGTTAAAACAAGAAGGGGCAGCAATGAAGGACAAATTTATCTTCAGGCTTGAGAAAATGGTAATAAGATAACAGACACACTGTGAAATAAGACAAGTGATTGGTATTGTGTGCCCTCCCGCCACCCTTTTTTCATAAAAAGCTGTTGGTGGCTGAATTTGCAGTAACTGACCCAAGAAGGGGATCTTAGAGTTTTATTACTATTTCAATAAAAATGTCAGTTCAGCACAGGAAAAAAGGCAGAAACTATATTTTTAGTCATTGGGAATGGAATTGATAATAAAAGTGCTAGAATCATAATGCCTTAATACAAATTAATGGTGTCACCATTCTTAATATCCTATTCATAGTCTTTTTTTAGTTGCGGTCAGTATTTCTCAGAAGAGTATCGAGCTGAGAATGCAAAAACAAAGTAATCCAAATTATTAAAAATTGTTGGAGCAATGAGGAAAAGTTAAAATATTTGAGGCTTTTCAGCTTAGAGGGGGGGAAAAAGAGGCAAGTGAAGGGGCCATAATAGAATTGTATTAAATTACACATGATGTGAAGAAAGTGTTTAGGGGGAAACTCTGATGAAGTATTAATTAAGTAATCTGATAAGAGCACACTTGAAGAAGAAGGGCCGTTTGGGAGTAAGAATAGGTTTGTCCACTCACATCAACCTCTATTATTATTTTTCTCCTTCTCTCTCTCTTCCCCTTCCCTGGCATTTTTTTTTCACCCACATGCAGAGTCATGAGTTTACCGATGAACACACCTACAGTGATTGTCTGACTGAGCCCCTGGGTTACCGCACCAGCCGCAGCACCTCTCTCTCCTCTCAGCAAGGAAGCACCTCCTGCTGCCCCCGCCGCAACAGGCGCCGCACCACCCGCCTCACCAACTCCACCATGTCTGTGAGCCGTGCCAGTGCTCAAGAGCTGGATATGTTGAACAGCCAGAAAAGTGCTGCCCCCCAGAGGTAGGAAGTATGCCTACAGCTTTTAACACCCAATCAGTGGGAAGAACGGATTGCTTCCTCTTGCATTATTCATGCTCAAAAAAACTTTGATTACATCTATTATTTGCAGGAAAGAGTGAGGATGGGGGAGACACAGCTCAAATATATTACCAAAGCTATTCAGTATAGAGAGAAAATTCAGCTCAGTAGCAAAGCATTTTAAGCAAGCATTCTCAGGTTTAATCCCCAGGAGTTCCCTGCCTGAAGGGCCACTGACAACCAGTGCTGACTGTATTAGATTCACAGGTTGTTTTTTTTAGATTGTTATGCTGGTAATATAAACTGTGTCTCACTAGTGCTAAAAAATAAAATAAATATAAACAAATAAAATTTTTAAAAACTCATGATCTTTCAGAAGTCCCTTTATCTACCATGATTATCATTTGGTTGGGGCTGCTGGGAGTTTTAGTTGGGTAATATCTGGAGTGCCACTGGTTCCCCATCTCTGCCTTCCTCCCTGAAGACCAAAGACCATCTGTAGAGTATGTAAAAATACCTCATGGTGACGTATAAAAAATACTCCTAGAATGGAGTGCAATTAAATCTGTTGACTTGAACTCCAGGTCACCAAAGTTTTGCAATAATAAATATGTTAGTTGCCTTCGCTGTAGTTAAGAAAGTTTTTAAAAAGTCTGGATAGTGGACATTGCAACACCTGGAGACAGCAGAATAGAAGGGAAAGAAAATCACAAAATACAAAGACCTGCAAGAGAAGTAGAACAACTGTGCCAAAAGAAAGCAAACATGGTAGCAATAGGAATAGGCACCTTGGGTGCAATTCCAAAACATTTGGAGCACCACTTAAACATCATTGGCATTGATAAAAATCCCCAATTGCAAAAAAAGCTGATTTACTTGCAACAGGGTACATCCTGCGACAATACCTCTTAATACCATCAAACAAAAACATCTGCCCACCCCAGGTCCTTGGGAAGGAGTTGACAGGAGAACAAAAATGCCAAATCCAATCTAAACATCAAGCTGACTGTTTGATTGAATATATGGCAATATAATATATTGCCATAGCTGCTTCCCTTCCATCTCTTGCATAACTGATTTTACAGCTAATAAATATGACCAGATTTGTTTAATAATACAGTGGATCTGATTGTACTTGCAGCTCAGCTATGCTGTCAAGTACAACCAGATCCACTGCAGGATGAAGCATAAAGGACATTTATGACCAGTTTACTAAAAAAAAAATCTGTTTGGGCTCTGCAGGAGGAGGTTGGGCAGTTATGGCCTTAACAGAAATAGATAGACTGGATAGAGAAGTTTAGGGTAAGAGTTAGGTTAGGTTAGGGAAGGGGTGTCAGACTCAATTTCATTGAGGGTTGGATCAGGGTTGTGTTTGACCTTGGGGGGCCGGGGTGAGCATGGACAGGCCTCAGAAACGAAGCTTCAGAAAAAAAGCCTCTGAAAGGCTTCTATCTAAAATAATATGGCAAGCAACAAAGGGAGAATCAGTAAAGGTTCTAACCATACTATGTTAACAAATCTGGAGAATGACACAATAACCAACAGATCCAGAAGAAGTTAATCTAGTTTAGTTTAGTTTAGTTTAGTTTATTTGATTTGTATACCGCCCTACTCCCGAAGGACTCAGGGCGGTGAACAGCCAACAATAAAATACATAAATACACAAAATTTTAAAACCTGATAAAATTAAATTAAATTATTTGGCCCAGACAAATTAAAATACCCCAATAATTTAAAAAACAGATTAAAATTTACATATTTAAAAAGGGAAGAGAAAATCTGCATACCAATACCAAAGAAAAGAGATTGAACAGAGTACAGATAGTCCTTCAGAATAAAAGCCTCTGAAAGAAGCTTCAGGAAAAAAGCCTTTTTTTCTGAAGCTCTGTTTCAGAGGCTTTCAGAGGCAGAAAAAAAAAGCAAAAAAAAAAGCAAGGCACAGAGCTCACAACCAAGGAACCTGTTGCTAAAATTCACCTCTGGAAACAGCTGATTGGGGGTATTCCGGGAGGCCGATCCACCCACCAATCAGCTTTTTTCTTGCTTTCCTCCCCAAAGACTAAGGTGCGTCTTATACTCGGTTGCATCTTATACTCCCAAAAATATGGTAAGTGACATATTAGTGCCTCTGGAATTTGCCCCGGGCCTATTTTTTCCACACTTTTGGTCTACTTTGGTGTTCTTGCTAAACAATGAATTATCCATACTAGCCAAATGGCTTAGCTTGAAGGTTCAGCATTTCCCCTCCAGTGAAAGCACAACGTTTTTGGTTCTTTTTCAAGTTCAGGTCAACTTTGTTTTTGAATGGAATGCCAAAGTTCTGCTCTGCAAGGTAGACCAGATCAGGAAACATGCTCCACAAGATGACTGGAACTCTATTTGATTAAGTTAGGTTGTAGTAACAGAATTGTGTAAATCTGTTGTGTTTCCCTCACTTTTATGCTCCAGGCAGTCATGGAAGCCAGTCAGAGTTTCTTCTTCATGGTTTCCCCAAAGCTTAACTGATACTTCTTCTGCTCCTCTTGTCCTAATGACTTCTGGATGCCTTCTCCAAGGTCAATTCCATGGCTTGCTAATCAGAATTACATTCCAAAATCAGAACTAGAACAGGATTAGAACAAGAGCAGGGTAAAATCAAGCTGGGATGTAAAAAAAAAAAAAAATCAAGATGTCATCCGTGACCATGTGATTGAGGCCCCACCTCGCTTTATAGCATCACGATGAACATTAAAAAGCAGCAGGACACCTATCATATAGTCATTAGTGCCATCTTCAATGTTTCTTTCCCCTTCTCCATGGATGCTGATGGGGCCAGGCCAAAAAATAAAATAAACTCAAAGGTAATTACTATAATTACCTATGTGTATTTGTAATTTTCCTCTTCTTGCGCACTGAAGGTGGCATCTCACTGTCAACAGTGGTTGATGTAATCCCGATTGTCCTTTCAAAGTTTACAGTTTTGTATGGGGGTTTAACTGGCTCATTTGAACTTACTCCCATTTGGATATTGCTTTGAACGAAATGCGGATAATAAATGATAGGTAAATTAGTGATTGCAAGGAGCATGGAAGCTTAGAGTGTCAGAAAAGTTCACTATTTCTCTATAAAATGGGGGCAGGGGCTTTGAAATGGAGATAAGACCTTCTGCTTTGGCCACTTATTTTATGGGGCAGATCAGGACTCCTGGCTGGAGCTTCCCATGCATGACCTAGAGCAGAGCTAGAGCAGGGGAAAGTGATCTGATGGCCCCACATCTGTTTGCACTCCATCTTCTACAATACCTTGCTGACTCCTGCCTGTCCCGGGGGAAAGCATCCCCTAGAAGATCTGGATGGCCACAAGTCTATTGGCCAGGAGCTTAAGCGAGTTGCATTATTTGTTTGTTTTGTTTTGGGAATAGTCTTTTGATTCCAGCCATGTATTAGGGTGTGGATTGTATACAGGTAGTCCTCAACTTACAACTATTCATTTAGTGACTATCCAAAGTTACAATGGCACTGAAAAAAAGTGATTTATGACCTATTTTCACATTTATGACCATTGCAGCATCACTACAATGATCAAAATTTGGACGCCAGCTTGACAACTGGCACGTGCTTATGATGCTTGCAGTGTCCCAGAGTCATGGGATCATCTTTTGGGACCCTCTGACAAGCAAAATCAATGGGGAAGCCAGATTCGCTTAACAACAGTGTTACTTACTTATCAGCTGCAGTGATGCCCTTAACAACTGTGGTGAGAAAGGTCGTAAAATGGGGCAAAACTCAACAACTATCTTGTTAAGTAACAGAAATTTGGGGCTCAGTTGTGGTCACAAGGCAAAGATTACCTGTAATGGTTTTAGGAATTATGCTATTGTTTGGGGGGGGGTTGCTCTTGTATGCCACCCAGAGTCACCTTTGTGAGATGAGGAGCTATACCAATTGTTCAACTAAGTAAATGAATCAGGGCTGGTGGCTAAAGGTAAAGGTTTCAGATGTCTGACTCTAGGGGGCGGTGCTCATCCCTGTTTCCTAGCCAAGGAAGTCTGCGTTGTCCGAAGACAATTTCTGTGGTCATGTGGCCAGCATGGCAAAAGTGCACAGAACGCTGTTACTTCCCACTAAAGTGGTACCCATTAATCTATTTGCATTAGCATGCTTTCTAACTGCTAGGTGGGCAGGAGCTGGGGCAAGTAAAGGGAGCTTACCTGGTCTCAAACAAGGGGTTTTAAAATCTTTAACTGCTGAGCCATCGTTCCCCTTATTGCTGGTGGCTGATGGGAATGAAATCCTAAACTCCTGGAGGGCACCCTTTGCCTTCCTAGACTAACACATGAGCTGTGTTCTCAGTTGCTTAATACATATGAGATCTATGCCATGCAGTTCTATTGATTGATTTATTATATTATTCATAGGCTGCCCTTCAAGATTAACTCTCCCCTTGTGGTTTGTAACATATTAAAATTTAAAATTTTCTTTAGAACTCTTTACAATTCAGAGCCCTGTAATCTAGAAATATTGTAACAGGGTTACAGCAATGTTATGGCAGCAATAATATGCATCAATGCTCAAAAGTACACCCCGTTGTGTTAAGTGGGACAGACGTGAGTTTTCACTTATTCCATTATATAGAACTGCTGCTTTTGTGGTTCTAATTTGATAGTGATTGACTGCAGGTGTCAGCAAGTAGCTGACCTTGGCTAATTCCCCAGAATCAAAGTTGATCTGACCTGGTTCACACATGGATGGGAAACCACCAGGAACCTGCTAAAACTATAAAGCAAATGGTTTGTAGTTAGATCCCACTTATTTTATTTAAATGGACTTTTGAGGGATGTAGAGGGCATGGGTGATCACACAAGGGCTCCCTTAAGGGCTTTAAGGTGGAAAGTGGGAATTATTTCAGTGCAATGGGAGGCACTGCTGAAAATCAGATTTTTCTGCCTGATTTTATTGTGCTATTCAGCTCCTCTAGGGCCATAAAGAGGTGCTGCATGGTAT